AGGTACACACTCATCCTTGGCTATCTAACTAATAGTCAACTCCATGTTCCTAAGATCATATAGCTCAGTGGTTAGAGCGTCCCTCATGTGTTGGTGGAGGTCCTAGGTTCAATCCCTGGTGTGGTCGCATTGCTCTATTTTAACACATTGAAGAGTAGCTTCTGATCAAAATAAAAGCCAAGATACTGCCAGTGTATCTTGGGTGTGAGTGGCATGTCCCCCATGTAGGGGTGTAGCCCAGGTCCAGGGCCAGGTTGTCTGGCTTGTGGGCCCTGTCAAAGTGGAACAGTTCAGTCTTGCTGTGTTCAAGCTCAAGACCGACTGCAGTAAATAATGCGAATAGAATGATGTAGGCCTTCTGGAGGACAACATTATTCTTTGTGACTGATTTAGACTGTACGGCCACAGTCCCATCAGGCCTGATGGAGGTGTGTGGACCGGCGGTTGGCTCCAGACAAAAAGTCTTGGTACAGGGGTGTGGACACCCTGCATTGCCCCATTAGCCCCAGTAGGTCTGCCGACAACTGACAACACATTTGCTGCGCCTACCGGCGCAGAACTTTCTGAGCCTTTGTCCAGAGGGAGGCTTGTATATCAAAGGGGGGCAGAGACCCCTCATTTTCAAATCCTAATGTATAGTTTACTCTGTGCATAGATAGGGACCGGGCTGCGAACAAGCCCAGGTAATACAAATTGTTGAATTAAAAAAAAAAAAAAGCCACAGTCCCATCATCAACATAGGACAGGAGGGTGGTCTGGAGACCATCCCTTGCTGCCCTGATTTTGTATAGCCTCATGACTGGGGCTATGAATAGGGCCAATAGAACTGGAGATAGGGCGTTGCCTTGGCCCCAGTGTCCGCTTATAGTGGGAAATTTCAATTTCAAAGTGATATTTGAAGGGTCGGCATAAAGGATAGATTGTACAGTTTTCAGAGTAACTACAGTTGGTGTAATTCTCCTTGGGCAAAACCTACACTTAGCACTGGCCCACAAGTCCATGTGGCCACCATGCTGGAGCCATGTCAGGGCCATGCCAGGGCCATGCAAGTCTGTGTGGCCACTGTGCTAGAGCCGTATGGCCACTGTGCGGCAGCTGTGCACTCTCTGTGCAGCCACCATGTGGCAGTCATGCAACCACCGTGCGGCCACCGTGCAGCAGCTGTGCAATCTCCATACAGCCTCCATGCAATCTCCATGTGGCCACTGTGCGGCAGCTGTGCAATCTCCGTACAGCCACCATGCAGCAGCCATGCAACCTCTGTGCAGCCATTGTATGGCCCTTGCGCACAGCAGCTGTATGATAGCCATACAAGTTCCATGTAGCCATCATGCAGCTTTCATATGGCAACCATTGTATGGCTCTCACATGTCATCTATGCTAGATCCATAGAAGTATAATACTATAGTCCATGCTAGAGCCTTGCCAAAATTGACAAAACTGAAATAGTAGACAAAAAAAACTATAGTTACAGTACATTCTATTTTGTTTATTCTTCTTCTTCCTGTTTATCCTTATCATCTTCCTCCTTGTTTCTTTGCTGTTTGGGTTGCACAATTTGAGTGTGATAGTAGAGCATCACATGAATCATCTAGTTGAAGTTATTGGCTGTCATCCATTTGAGAATTGCAGAAAATCCTCCTCCTAGCCATGCAGCTGGAGTGCACTGGAGCCATGCCAGAGCCACACTCTAGCCACATGGCTCTGGCACGGCCTTCACACGGCAGCTGTACTAGAGCCATGCCAGAGCCATGTCAAGTCCACATGGCAGCCATGCCAGAGCCGTGTCATGGATGCACCAGCTCCATACCAGGGCCACACAGCTGCTGTGTTGTTGCTGCAAGGACCTGTGGGGGAGGGTAAAGTACTCCCTTGTAAGCATGAGTGCACTCAGAGCAGGAATGATTATCTGCAGCTAAGATTACACCATCTGTTCCCAAGGCTTATTTTTCATGTTCTACTAAACAATCCCCACATAAACTAAAAATACTGTATTCATGAATATTATAAGGACGAGAGTCTTTGGAGACTTTGTGAAGACTCTTTGAGAATTGTATAGAGACTCTTCAGAGACTTTGTGAAGACTCTTCAAAGTCTCTCTGTGGTGTCTTTGGAGACTCTTTACAAAGTCTCTGTAAAGTCTCCACATAATCCTCAAAGTCTCTTCACAAAGTGTCTGAAGACTCTATGGAGAGTGGTGGGTGAGTGTAATGTACTTGAACCTCCTGTGAGCCTGAAGTAAATGGATTCAACAGATGATACAATGAGCCTTCTGCCCAATCAACCATTGTGAGGCATTGTAGCCATAATGCTAGTTGGGTCTTGTTGATGTAAGTGCTGTTCACAAGAAGTCCATCTCGCATGCAGAGAAGTTTGCAGATGCCTGAGAAACATGATATATGGGCAAAATACAATGTGCATAATTATTATAGAAACTCATGCTTGAAATAGTGCTTCCAGTCTAAGTTTTGCATCTCAAAGTTTGACCCAGTCCACAAATTCAGTGCTTGAAGAAATCCCACATGTTGAAACAGAGCATCACTTGGGACAATTTCACAAATAATGCAGTGAAGATAAAGCACTGGGCATTGTTTCAGACCCCCATCAGACAAGTACTTTACACTGGCCCACAGGTGTACATACACTCCTCGTACACTCCTCATACACTCCTCATACACTCCTCATACACTCCTCATACACTCCTTATACACTTATACACTCCTTATCCACTCCATAGTCATAACATGAATACTTCATAGAAATTCAATCTAGAGACTTGTTGAAAATATCTTGTATCAATATACAAGTACATATGAATAATA